TGTTCAATCCCCAGTGTTGAAAGAAAAAAGGTTTGTCCTCAGCTTTGAGATGTGTTTTGCCTGTTTCTTAGACATATATGTTCTTATAGAACTATAAGCTTCTCCAAGACAGTCTAGGCCTCATTTGCTTGCCTTGTCCTTCCTGCTCCCAGGTGCTACCAAGGGACATTATGTCGTGTGCTGAACCTCACCAGGCACAGGTGTGTGATTCGCCGGGCACCCACCGGGTGTTAACCCCACAGGCCCAGGCTGGGGGTGGGGGGCCGGGGCTGCTTGGTGAGGAGACATCGCACTCCATCACAGGTGCAGAGGTGGGGCAGGACCATTCCTTCCAGTTTGCCGAGGAGCCCCAGAACCCCACCTCTATTTCAAACCTTACCCCAAACTCTATAAATATGTGAGGCAAAGTTGCTGCAGTGTGTCCTCCCAGAGGTAAGGTTACCTGGGACGGAGGATGGAGAGCCAAAGTCGTTTCCCACAGCCACACTGCTGGATTTGGATTTCTGGGACTCGTATTTCAGTCGATCTGGAAAAGGACCACATTCCTGTTAGGGAAGCGAGCTCCTGGCTCTTGGGGGAAGGCTGGAAGACGCAGGAGGCTGCGCCCCAGTCACAAGTGCACACATGCACACAAAGGATACCAGCACACACAGAGCCGGTGGTAACAGAAATGAGTGCCTGGCAACTACCAAAACTGTGAGAAAGCCACAACAGTCAGAATCAGATGGTGGCTGAGAGAGTCCAAAACATTGCTTTATTTTTATTTTGGCTTTCTGAGACCAGGTCTTGCTAGGTCATTGAGTCTGCTCTCAAACTCACTGTGTAACCCCAGCTGAACTCAAACTTGCAGTACTCCTCCAGCCTCAGCCTCCCAAGTGCTGGGATTACAGGTGAGTGCCACCACACCCGGGCCACCAATGCCCTGATTTTAAAAAGAGAGACCTGAGAACTCCACAGCCTTTGCTGTAAGCAGGGCCGGCATCTGGACCTCCTCCCTCCAGCCTCTGTTCTCGCTGTTCCACCCCATGAACACATGTGTCACACACTCACACTGGGACCCTTGCATGACAGCCTCCAACAGCTGTCTCTCCATACCCCACCAAGCCAGCCCCCAATCCTGAAGGAGAACAGCAGCCAGGCAGGGGAGCAGGGACCCCAGCCAAACATTGCCCAAACGCCCTGCCCTAACAGCCTCTCCAAACAGAGCCTCCACTTTGGCTTCAATGGAGCCCGCCGCTGTGGTCCTAGAGCTTCAGGCTGTCCTGTGGGCCTGTGGAGCCTTGCCCCAATCCCAGACCAGTGCTGAATGCCCAGCAGAGGTACAGGGGAGGGAGGGAGTGGACGCACCCCTCTCCCTGTGAGTCCCTAGGAAAGCAAAGGGTATCTGGTACCCAGGCAGAATTCTGGGGCTTCCCCAGGACCGCTGGTGAGGGCTGCGCCTTCACTGCGCCTCCACAGTACGGAAATGCTGGCCCCTGGAGCCCTGAGGCAAAAGCCCACATCCTTCTTTCTCCAGCCCTGGGGTGGCAGCCACAGCACCCGCCCACGCCTCAGTTGCCCACCTCTCTCCAAGGCGAGGAGGAAGTCTCGGTTGCGCTGCAGTTCCTTCATGAACTCCTCGTTCTGCAGGAAGAGCGCGATCCTCTCGTCCTCCAGGTACTGCTTCCAGCGGCTGTCCTGGTCTCCGGCCGTGGCAGGCAGGCCACCCTCTCCACTCACAGACTTGGTGCACCGGGGGTTACCCTGAGGAGGAAGCATACTGGTGCCTACCACAGGGGCACACGCCAAGCCCACCTCCACACACACATCACACACACCCTTGACCTTGAGCCCAGCCCCCCTGTGGAAGCAGCAGGGCCCCAAAATGATCTTTCCCATCACTCCTTCATGCACAACCCCAACGCTCCAGAAAACGCATTTGCAAATAGCTCAAGAGCCTGCATAGGACGCCCCAAGTCAAACCTCTCCCTGGGGGCTGGTGAGATGGCTCAGTGGTCTAAAGCACCTACTTAGAACAAGCTTGGCAAAGCACAAGGACCGTGGTTCAATCCCCCAGCACCACATGCCAGCCAGTGCCGCCTCCTGGTGGGCTGAGCTGGCCACACACACACACACACACACACACACACACAAATAAATAAAAATTAAAAAAAAAAAAACCTCTCCCTGTACACATGCTCCACAAGGTGAGATACATCTGCTCCACGGAGATACTTGGGGACCTGTCAAGGTCTGAGGAGAAGCCACCCCAGCACTTTCCCAAGGGACAGGAGCCACTGCCTGCCCTGATCCCCTTCCCTGCAGCCAGGGTATCCTTAGGCCATCACCTCGCTGGGGCAGACTAGGAAACCTCCAGACCTGACAGGAAGTAAGGCTTTCGGTTGGGCGTTCTTTCCCTGCAAGCCCAGGGTAACAGAAATAGCTCAGGGACAGGGGAGATGGCTCAGTAGGATAAGCACTTGACTGGCAAACACAAGGATCTGAGTTCAATCCCTGGTTCCAAAAAAAAAAAAAAAAAAAAAAAAAAAAGAAGAAAGAAAGAAATAGCTCAGCCTAAGCTTACTGACCAGGAAGCAGAACTGGCTGGCACAAAACATGTGGGTGGAGAGAGATACTAGACAGGTGGGTGGGCTGGGGGCATGCAGCAGCCATTACCTGTATGCTGTCCAGCTGCTGGGGCAGGATGCGGAGAAAGTCATCAGGGAGGTTGCCCAGCAGGGGAGGGTTCCAGTTCCGATAGCGCTGCTGGCTCGCAGAGGGCCCGGATGTGTGCACATCAGTCCTGTGGGGCAAGGGGTTAAGGAGGAGCTGGAGTCAGGCACAAGCGCAGCCTCTGGGCCTTTCACATGTGGTCCTCGGGTTCTTGGGCAGGTAGGATCCAGCTCGGAGCTGCCAGGCCCCTGCTGCATTAGACAAAGGCTCTGCTCTTGGCCCAGGAGGCCCTTCTCAGGCAGCCTGGCTTGGCTGCATCCCTTGGCCCTGAGCTCAGGTAACCACTGCTCTCTACTCGGAGCCCTTCTAGGGTGCAGGAACTCCGCTCTGGCACTAATGTCAATCTTGTGGATTTAGACATAGATGTCAAGGGATGTTCCCGATAGTCAGGGGACAGTACGTACCCTATGGTGCTCATACCCCAGCACCTAGCACACTATAACTAAGTACTGACAAAGATGCCAAACACAGCCAGCCTGCCTGCGGGAAAGGTGTGTGGCAGGAGGTCCATGCCAGGGCAGAGGGCACCTGTGTGGGGTGCAGGAGAGGAAGAGAGGCCATGTCACCCAGCCCTGAGGGCAGCCTGGAGCCTGGCCAGTAGCTCCCCCAGCTCCTCCACAGCCTGCAGTGTGGCAGCCGCAGGACACGTGTTCTGCTGAATCAGGGAAATGACACACTGAGAAGGCAGCCACGCGGCCTGGTAGCGGGTGGCGGGTGGTGGGGCCCTCTCCTGCTCAGCCTGGCTTTGATTTGGCCTCCAGCTCCAGGAATCCCGCCCGCCCCCTCACTGGAGGGGAGCTTTTCCGGGCTTCAGGACTGTGGAAATAACTTCCTTTCCTTTTTTATTTTGGGCTGGTGGCCAGCAGGGGTGAGAGAGAAAAGGAGAGAGCAGAAGGATAGCCAGCTGCTAAGAGCGGGGTGGGGCCTGGCAGCCCAGAGCCCAGGGAACCCTCCAGACGGCCAGAACCTCAGAGGGGGTGATGTCTGGTTGTAGGCTTTGCTTCCCTCCCAAGGCCCAAGAGAAGCCCCATTGCTCAGGAACTTGAAGACCCCCTCTGGCTGCAGCTGGGAGAGATCTCTGGGGTCATGATCCTGCTTTGGGCCTCAGGGTCGCCATCTGGAGACACAGGTGCCCACCCTGAGCCCAACCACAACGGGCAGCCACCCCAAAAGCTGCAGAGCTGTATCTGGACCCCTCTAGCCAAAACACCCAAGCGGCAAGGGGCAGCACAGGGGAGAATGTTCAGAGTCACTCTTGCTGCTGAATCCAGGGTGCCAGAGGAAGGACAAGGCCAGCCCCATCAGACCCCAGGCCCTGGCACTGGAGGGGTAGAGATGAGGGTAGCCACAGCTGCAGGAGCAGGGGGCCAGACCACAGGCAGCTAGGAAACTCCATTGTGGTTGGAAAGGAATGTCAGAAATGAGCCGAGAGGCAAAGAAAAAACTCCCAAGGCTGCCATTTCAATGGAAGAACAGCAGGAAATCTGTGCGGAGGGGTCTCCTGGACTTCAGAGACTTACAGACCGAGGGACAGGCTGGGGGAGGGGAAGGAGACAGCAGGTTGGGGACAATCTCCTGGCCAATGCTTCTGGAGTCCAAAAATAGACCTTCACACCACCACAGACCCACGTTTACTCACAGAGTGTCAGACCTGACTTGCAAGGATCTCAAAGATAGGCAACCTGCCCAGAAGGATTTTTGAGTGGAGATTTTTCAAGTTCACATGGGACAGGCCCTGCCGTATGACACACCGCTTGTCTAGGGTGCAGGAATCCCTGTGCTCCGGGCTTGCTTTCTGTTAGGGCTTGTGTCTAGATGACCCTAAAGCTTCATGTGGCCATAGGTGGGGCTTTTTCAGAGCTGACTGGATCTAGAGTGTGTGATGCTGGGATATATACACTGTGCAATGCTAGGCTCAAGGGCTCTAGGACTAAGGGTGTGAGTGCTGCCTCACCTAAGTAGCCTGCATAAGACATAAGAGACAGACAGGGCTGTGGTTGACCCTTCCTGGCTTTGCTACCTTCTGCCCACCATGAACGCTCTCCCCTGCAATGCCCTCTGCCAACCCACCCTGCTGTGGAGCCAGCTGCTTATGGATTGAAACCTCTACAAACTGTGAGCTATATAAATTTTTTCCCTTTTAATTTGGGTGTCAGGTATTTTCTCTCAGCAATGAGACAAATAACTACGACACTCTCTGGAAAGGCCCTGCCTCTTGGGGCCCCCAGAGCAATGTCTAAGCTTCCAAACTCAGCCTACCTGCAGGATCTCACATAGCCAGGGACTGAAGGAGTTCAGACCATTCTCCTTCAAGACTGACTCTTTTCAGCAGCTGGGAGAGTCCTAAAGCAATAGGCTGACCATACCACTGAAACCTCCTTCTGGCCTCCTCAAAGGTAAGATGGAAGCCACCCTGCCACTTGCCAGCCTTGTCTGGCCTTGTCCAGTGCCACCCACTCCAGAAGTCCCCAGATGGCCCTCCTGCACCCAGGCTTTTGCACACGCTGTCTCCTGTGACTGGCACACCCTCCCATCTGCTGCTTCATGGGGCTGATGCCAAGGCGTGTGGCCTTCAGCTCATAGCGTGGACTCTTGGCAGCTGCCCACCCCTCTGTCTCTGTCCTCTGGGCTCTGACCTTCCTGGGGTGTGAGTGAGGGGCCTTGGCAATCTGTTCATCCATGAGGTACATTTCCAGGGACTCAATAGATGCTGGGAATGAATGTCCCAGTGCAGAGACTAAACAAGACCCTGGGGCTGGCTTGGGGTAGGTAGATCTAGGCCTAGTGGGTTATGGGGGCAAAGGGACACTGCTCAGGGGCTGGCCCTCCTGCTAACGCACACTGGAAGCCTAGGAAGGAAGCCTCAGTGATGGTCTCTACCTCAGAGTTGGAGCTGACCTCCAAGGCCAGCCAGTGCAGTGGGGCAGGAAGAGCAGCAGACCCTAATTATAGGTCCGCTTTGTCCCTGACACTGCGCAAAGTGCTCCACACACAACAGCTCAATCCTTGTAACACTGCTGAGGGGCACATTAGTAACCCCATTTCCTAGATGTGAAAATGAAGCGCAGAGATTAAGTGACACAGCAGAGAGCCCAGACAAGTCAGAAGTTTGGCAGCATGGGCCGGGGAGATGGCTCAGTAGAATAAGCCCTTCCCTGGCAAGCACAAGGGCCTGAGTTCAATCCCTGGTTCCCCCCCACAAAAAAAGAGGGAGGGAGGAAGAGGAGGAAGAGGAGGAAGAGGAGGAAGAGGAGGAGGAGGGGGGAGGAAGAGGAGGAGGAGGAGGAGAAGAGAAGAGAAGAGAAGGAGGAGGAGGAGGAGGAGAAGTAGTAGTAGTAAGTAGTTTGGCAGCAAAAAAAGGGGTCAGGGTGTCTGCAGCGTGCCCACTCCCTATGCAGCGAAGCCCTCGGCTCCTGGCTCCAGTTGAGGCAAAGGCAACAGCTGGCTGAGGCCCACAGGGTCTGCACAAGGCCTCCTGAGCCTGGCCTCAGAAAGGCTCCCATCAGTGGGCTGCACTGCCGCTGCCCCTAGCCCTACCCCACCCCCGCACAGCAGAGGAGAAAGGCTATGGCCAGACAAACCCATCCTGAGTCTAAGCTGGCATCCACTCCCACAGCCTCAGTTTTCCCTTCAGAAAAAGTCAGTTATTCTGCCTAACAGAAACTGATGTTTTTGCAGAAGTATCTTGGGATATTTTTTTTTTTTTTAAAAAAAGGTCACATTTAAAAATAAAAGTAGGGGCTGGGGAGATAGCTCAGCAGCTTAAGCGTCTGCCTGGCAAGCACAAGGTCCTGAGTTTGATCCCAGTACCGCCAAAACAAAGAAAAGGAAAAAAAGAAAAAAATTACCAGATTCTCAGCACTTTGGGAGGCTGAGGCAGGAGGATCAGAAGTTCAAAGGAAGCCTGTGAAATTTAGGAAGTCCCGGTCTCAAAATAAAAAAGTAAGTAAATTACAAGGGCTGAGGGTGTGGCTGAGTGCTTGCTGATTTTAGTCCCCAGTAAAAGAAAGGGAAGGGGGAATAGCTGTGACCCACCAGAGAAGGGGAGTCCTGCCCATGTTTCCCCCCAGACTAGCTCTTGATTCCTGCCTCCCGCCCCGCATGGCCCGCCATCTTCTGTACACTTTTAATAGACCCTAACTCAAGACACTGCGCCCCGTGACTCTGGGACTCAACTGGTTCCTAAGCCACAGTCTGGGAGCCCTCACTGGGGAGGTGACAGGGCACAGCAGTGAAGAGTCACTGGCTTTGAAGTACAAAAGATGGATTCAAACCCCAGCTCTCAGTCATCTGTAAAATGGGGGTGCCGACAGTGCCACCTCCTAAGTCATCAGGTAAGGAAGTGTGGCAGGGTCAGGTGTTTGAAGGGCGCGTGGCAAACGGCAGCAATTCTTCATGGCTATACCCGTGTGATCCCCATCCCCACAGCTCCAGGGCTTCCGAGATCACCCACTCAGCCCAGTCCTTCTAAGAATGGCAGAGGTACATGCCTTTAATCCCAGAGACTTGGGAGGCTGAGGCAGGCGGCCTGCAAGTTTGAGGCCAGCCTGGGCAACTCTGTGAGCCCCTGTCACAAAATAAACTTGTACAAGGCGAAGGTATAGCTCAGCGGTAGCGCTTCAGTAGACGTGCAAGGCCCTGCGTCTGACGCCCAGCGCCAGGAGAAATGCCAGTACGCATTCTGCAGGCTCACCCTTCTTGCTCTGGCGGCTCCCTTGACTACAAGCCCAGAAAGCAGAGGCTGAGCACTACCTGGTCCCATGTAGCATGGGACACGCTACCTACCCCGGAGTAGGAATGTAAACATTTCCTTCTGCAATCCCGGCATCTCGAAAGTTCTCCCTGGTATCAGGCTAACATGCCTCTTGCTGCAGTAGAAGCCTATTCTTGGTGGAATTGTACACCGAAAGGTCCGGCATTTCCCACAGGGTCTGTACCCAACCCAGCCACTCCCTTCCTTCTCCCAGTGCTCAGAGATAGATCCTCACCGGGGAGGTGGAGTCGGGGGGGCCAGAGGGTAAGGCCTGTCGAACATGTGCATGTGGTATGCCGGCGGGGAGTACACCGGCGGGGGCTCTTCATCGGAGCTATCAGGTTCCAAAGTCCTTTCCAAGATCTAGATCACAGACAACGAAGAAAGATGGATTAATAAGCCTTCCCTGAATCTAAATGGCAATGAGACAAAACCAAGTGTGGGCGAGGATGTGTAATAGGGCACTGCGTGAGCTGCAGGTGGGAGTGTAACTCAATAAAGCCACTGCTTGGGAAAATGAGTCCTATACTAAGGCTCAACCTGTGGCTGGCTGTCCCCATCATTGCTGCAGGCCCTGCAGATGGGAAAGCACACATGCCCAGAGCAGTGGCATGGTCCCACCAACCACTCAAGGAACAGGCCAGGAGTAGGGTCGGCAGTGTGGTCCTGGGGGCAGGGCACGGGGGCTCCTGGATCCCTGGATGCCGTGTGGTCTAGGTGTGACAGCCAAGTGCATTCACACCTCAAAGCTTCCGTGAGCTGCACACTTGCAGTTTGCATCCTCTTTCTCTGAAGAAGTATCGCCTGCGCCCTCTTCAATGCACGTCCACATTTCCTGTCTTAACCTCAAACTGCCTGGCAAGAAAGGAGGTGGATTACTGAGCCCCTTTTACAGATGAGGAACCTGAGACACAGGTTGGTGAAGTGACATGGAATCCACAGAGTCTTCATCTGGGACCGTGGCCCACAGCCAGGCCTCAGGTGCAAATCCCACACCTGGACTGGATGCTCAGGCCCACAGAGGCCAGAGCCCAGGAGCCAGCTAGGGGACAAGAGAGGCCTCGACTGGATTCCCAGGGCCCAGACAGAGTGGGACCCTTCCCAGGGGCCCCCAGGCATCAGGAGCAGCAGATCCCTCATCACACATCCCGAGGGTCTACACTTTGCCGCCTGATCCTCCCTCCACCCCTTGGCACTGCTCCCATCTCCTGCAGGATTCGAGAACTGGGAAGGGCTCAGAGGCTCTGAGCCCCCATTTAACTCCACGTGAGTTTCTAGAAGTCCCTTCTAAAGCTGCTTCTCCCTGCATCTCCTCCTGTGGGCCTGGACTGGACTGTGGGCATCTCTCTTCTCTAGACCTGCCAGGCCTGGCACTAGAGCCTCACAGGACACCCTGGCAAGGAGCACATGCATGTGAATACACACACAGGCACAGGCACACACACACACACACACACACACACACACACACACACACACAGAGTCTGCACATGCCAAGGAGGCCTCCCACCCTGGAATGCACAAACGTTCTTTCCTGTGCGGTGGAAAGTATTTAAACAGATGCTATTACAGGAAAAAGAATATAGCTTCTTTGTGGGCCAGTGTTATGCTTACTGCAAATTTCTATGGGGAGGAAGAGAACGAAAGAGACAGACAGGCAGAGACAGACAGACAGAGATCAAGTGAGAGACTGAGACTGCAAGCTCTGTTGCTGTGCATAGCAGCTCGGCAAGAACCTGAGGCATGCAGAGGACTTGCGGCCTCACGCTGCCCACACACCCACTGCCCAGCTTCCTCTGTTCTGGAGCCAGTCTGGAGCCTGGTCTGGTCCCATGAGGCTGGTCTCAAGGGGCCAGAAGGAGAGAACTGGTAGGAACTGTTTCCAGGGGAAGCTGCCCTGGGTTTCCTCCAGGGACGGTGGCCTGCAGCAGACAAACCCCCAGAACCCAGAGATCGGGCCCGAGGGCTCCACGGTGCAGCCCCCAGCAGCCACCTGGAGAGGAATAGGGATATGCATGCTCAGAGGCAGGCAAGCTCCAGAAAGGCAGGTCCTGTCCCTGTACCTGTCTGGCCTCCTTGCTACCCTACCAGCCCTAAGGAGCCTGTTCTGGCTCTAAAGGTGCTGGGGTTTACAGCCCTGTGGGCTGCTGACTTAACTCATTATGGGTGACAGATGCCTGCCAGGTGTTGGGACAGGGTCTGGATCATTTATCTGCAGCAAGGATATCCCTAGGGCCAGCCACCATCCATCAGCCTGAGAGGGGATTTTTACAGTCAGCAGTTACTGTGGGTCCAGCCACTGCTCGTAAATTTCCAACAGCCTTCTTGCTGCTGGGCTTGGAGCTGGTTGCGTGGGCCGGGGCAGGGCGCCAGAGGAGGAGCTGGGAAAGAGTAGAGGAGGGCAGGGTGCACTAAGGGGCTGGGCCGGTAGAGCAAGTCATACAGAGCAGGTGACATGGGGACATACTGGGTCACCAGGGATGAGGAAGGAAAATCCTACTTATCAGATGTCAAGACCAATGAGACCGCAGCGGGAGAGAGTGCAGAGAGTTTGCCAGCTCACACTGAAAAGATGTGTTGCGCACATGCACATGCACACACACACACACACATACACAAAACCCCTCCTTTCCACGAAGAGGATCTAGGCTTTCCAGTATTATTCCCTTCCTCAGGCAAATCCAGGCAGCTCAATAAGAGAAGATAGAAAATTGTGCAAAGATAGCAACAACGTGTATTCATTCAACAAACACCCCCTGGGCCAGCCAGATAGCTCAGCATATTAAAGCGCCTGCTTAGACAGACGCAGGGACTGGTTTGATCCCCAGCCTGCTGTGCTGTCCCTGCCCTCAGGGTGCACTGAGACTATGAATGAGACTGGGGGTAGTGGCACACACCTGTAATCCCAGTGCTTAGGAGCTGAAAAACAGGAAGGATCACTACGAGTCCGATCTGTGTAGTGGGACCCTGTAGACCTTGTACTAAAAATACATTTAAAAAAATTAAAAAAATTCCCTGAGTGTGCTCTGTGCCTGACTGTCCTGGATGCTGCATGTGACACAGGGACAAGGCAGAGGTCGTCACTCACATAGCTTCTCTCCTGGAGAGGGAAGTCCCAGGAGAACCTGCCAAGGCAGGGCCAGAGGGGCAGGATGGCTGACTGGTGGGGACGTGGGGACAGGACGACGCCACAGCTTTATCTGGGTGCAGGTTGCTCACTGTACTGAGGGTGATAATAATGCTCTTCCTGAAGTGTGCAGGGACCACTATCAAAGTGTGGGTTCCCGGCCTGGGCTGGGACCCAAGACAGAATGGTTAGATCTCACCTGCGGGGCCATTTCCTGGCTGACCTTTGCCTCCAGTGAGCGCTGTACTGTGGGCTCTAGGAGGACAAAAGCTCTGACTTGGCCAACATGGATACTCCGAGGTTAAGAGTCTTTTTTTTCCCCTGCCTTTTTTTTTTTTTTTTTGGTGGGGGTCAGGGCCTCGTTACGTACTGAAGTCTAGCAGTCTAGCTCTTCAACTCACTATAGCCCAGGCTGGCTTCAACTCATGAGGATCCTCCTGCCTCAGCCTCCTGAGTATTGGGATTACAGATGTACCACACCCTGCCAGCCTTTCGGGAAAAGTACACACTCGAAGATTCTGGGCTTGGAATTGGGACTCAGTGTGCTGGACTGGCGCCCAGGCCTCTGCATTTTTAACAAGCACCTTGATTCTGACGTCCCCTGATCCTGGTGCACCACTGAGAGGTCAGCATTTGTTGAATGACTGCACCATCTGCTCTGTTTTCCAAGGAAAAAGGAGGCTGGCTTGCTGGTTGGAACCTAGGCAGAGGAGTCACCTGCAGGCTCCAAAGGCTGCCCACACTGCGCCCTACCTCCGGGGGGATGCTACCCTCCGAGTCGGAGCTGTCCTCATAGGCGCTGCCGCCGCCCCCCTCCAGGTTCATCTGCAGCAGCTGGTCGATGGTGGCGTCCACTGCACCGCTGTTGGCGCGCAGCACACACTCGATGATATCGTAGTCCATGTTGGGGAACATGGTCTTGAAGTCGTCCATGGCCTGGTTGAACTCCAGGCGGCGCACCTGGCGGGCTGGCCGGCTGTTGTTGAGCTCCTGTGGGGCCCCGGCGTTGCCTCCAGTCCCTGCTCCAGCCCCGCGTGCCCCCGCCCCGCCGCCTCCACTGCTGCTTCTGCGGAACAGGCTGGTCATTTTGTGCAGTCGCTTGGGGAAAATGTTTCCTATCAATTGGCCACAAACTCCCTTGTCCCTGGTCCTTCCGCCGTCAGCCACTTGCTTGCTTGCTCGCTCTGCAGACACGGGGAGCTCACCCGGCGCCTCCTCCCACGCCGGGCATGGGCAGCCGAGGCTCTGGATCAGCAGACTATGGGCCTGGGGCCCCAGGCAGTCTTCAGGGAGCGGACCTCATGGGGCATGTGGACCCGAGCCGGGCTTGGCTGGATGCGGGTCATCCACACCATGGGGGCATCCTGTGGCCAGCTCCAGGGATGGCCCCACCTGGAATGGGAGAGACAAGAGTCAGTGTGAAGATCCAAGGTGGGCAGAGGCGACCCCGGCCACAAGCAGGGAGGCCTGGCTTTTTCTGCTGCCTCTGCAGCTCCCACATTTTGCCACAGTACATTAGCAAGGGCGCTCTGGACTAGCACATGCCAGAACTCTATGGTAGGTGCACACTTCCATTCTGCAGATGGAGAAATTGTGCAAAGACTCAAAGGCAGGATCTGAACCCAGACCCTATGCCCTGCCCCCAGCCACCAATCTCAACTACTATGCACACTGCCAAGGATGACCTGGTAGGTGAGAGGGGTTCTGGGTCCTGCTCTCCATCACCACTCTAACATTGCTTCTGTCACCACAATGTCCCCCTTGGCAAAGTCCTGAATTTCAGGGACTCCCCAGTGTCACCAGGAACCTCCAACCTGAGAAAAGTTGGAGGTTCACTCCTGTACCTCCTCAGGATCAGAGGCTCCCGTTCTGGGTCATTGTTTCCATTCCTGAGGAGGCCCAGCACACTGCTGCTGCCCTCAGAGAGCCCAGACCCGGCCTTGACATTCAGTCCAGGCCCTTCTGAAGCGCCAGACCTGCAGAAGGAGCCAGGTCCCTGCCCCTGGACCATACCTGCTCACCGCTCTGTCAGGCTTCACGTTATGTCATATCTGGGATGCAGATCTGTTTTTAAAGAATACTGAGTGCCCTGCATATTTTAAAAAGGAAAGAAATGCCTAGAGGTTTCTTCTGAAAGCTCTTGAGGAACAATGGCTATCTTAAGTTCTCCCCCAGTCCAGTCCCTCTGCCGTAGCCAGCACCACCTGCACGCGCAGCATCACCAGTGTGTCTGAGGCTATGTGCACAGGGGGAAAGTCAGGCCCCAGAAAACCACCCGGCCCACTCAAACCAGGCACAGAAATGGCCACCAAGGTTACCCCTGGCTTCGGGCAGGAAGGAGGGTGGACTGAGTCTGAAAACACCATGTTCTGGCTCTCTCCCGCTTCTCCCAGGATGGACAGTCATTTACTTAGCTAGAAAAGAGGTGGCTCTACTGGCCTTTTCTAGGACTTGGGGGGCCACAAGCTTTACAGGCAATGGAGAAGCAGTCATGTGAGCGAATCAGCAGGCTCATCCTTGTAACCATCTCGGCACCCAATGGAGTGAGAAGCACAAACTGAGGGCTGTGGGATGGGGTGGGGAAGGGTTTCCCCCACACTGGGTCGGTGGAGGCCTGGCTGCCAGTGACTCCCAGTACCCAGAGGTCAGCCCTTCCTAATTCCCTGGGCTCTCCTACTCATCCAGTGGCTTCAAGGCGCCACCATGCTGCCATGCCTCTTGTCACACTCACTCCTGTACCTCCTCAGGATCAGAGGCTCCTGTTCTGGGCCTGCGAACATCTGCCTGGTCTCAGAAAGGCGGGTTGGATTTGAGGCTGCAAAGCTCCAGGTATGACGTGCTCTGTGCTGCCAGTGGAGACTGGAGATACGATCTACTCCCGCCCCGAGAAGGCTGGTTCACAGGATCACATGTCTGCATTTGTCCTGCTAAGTACACACTTGTTCTCTGCATGTATTATCACATGCATGAATGTAGTTTGCTAAAATGTCATAGCTAGGGAAAGTGGCATATGCCTATATCCAACCCAACAAGGAGGCTGGGATAGGAGAATCACAAGTTTAAGCCCAGTTTGAATGTGTTTAGCAAGACCCTGTTTCAAAATAATGATTTTTGGTACTTTTGTTCTGATAAGATGTGGGAGAGGGCTGGGGAGGGTGTAGCTCAGTGGGAGAGTCCTTGCCTTGCATGTGCAAGGTCCTGGCTTCAGCCCCTGGTACCACAAAAATCAGTCAATCTTTTTTTTTTTTTTTTTTCAGAACCGGGGAGTGAACTCAGGCCCTTGAGCTTGCCAGGGAAGCGCTTATTCTACTGAGCCATCTCCCCGGCCCCAATCAACTGATTTTTGTTATATGATCAAAACATAAATTCTACTGTGTCCTGGTTTTTACTGCTGAGTGGTATATGGTGGCCACCTTCCCATGTCAGCACATACAGAACCACTCCATCATGCTTAATACTTGAGGAATATTCCATTGATTGGCTAAAGCATGATTTACTTTCTACTTCCTTTTGTGCAGATGAGCCAGTACAGCCCAGGAAGGCCAAAGCCATTTCACAAGGAGAAACAGAAGGGTTACCTCAAATGACTGTCCAAGCATTTGGCTATGCAAATGAACACAGGAAGGTAGCCATGCGTGACAAGGCATCGCCGGCCAGCCCCCTGCACCTCCTGACACCTCGCAGGTCTGAGACTGCTACTCCGGCTCTGCCCTGGTGGCTGCTCTCACCTTGGGCTCTGCGGACCTGCCTTGAGGGGAGCCCATCACACAGACCCCTGCCTGTCACAGCATCACACATAGGGACCTGAGCCTCATACTCGGGCCCTGGGGAGCAAAGCCAGCATGTCCCTGCTCCCCTAATAATTCTCCAAGAAAGATGGGAGCCAGTTGTCACTTGGAGAAAGAGGCCAGAACCTGGCCACTCAGGGAGGAAGAAAAGTGGGGCACCCATGTCCCCTTTAACAGTCCTTTGGGTAGGCCCCTCAGGCTGATGGCCTGGGAGTATTCAGCAGCCTCAAGAGGCGTCCTGGCACCCGTCACTCAGTGACAGCGGGCATGCGCCACTTAGCTCAGCTGCAGACTTCTCCATGTCCCTGTCCTCTTGCGGCCCAGTGGCCCTCATCTATACGTAACCCTTATATGACTTCCATGTGAACTAAACAAGCTGGCCCTCAGTCCAAGGCCTGAGTGCTGTGTTCTGCTGTCTCTGCCCGCAGAGGCCAGTAAGAGCCAGGTGCAGCTGAGGTGCCGGCCAAGCAGCTCCCTGGAGCAGAGGGACAGAAGGGATAATTCTCAGGGACTCATTGCCATATCTAGATGCCAACCCTGGAATTCCTTGAGCCCTCTAGAAGGAAATGCTGGCCCTCACGACACTGGGGGAGGGGGCCTGCCGGCCTAGACAGCTTCTTCATCGAGCCCAATGCAGAACCTTGAAAAAGGTGTTGAATTATGAGTGTACGGGACACTCAGGATCCTGAAAGCCAAGCTGCCTATAGACAGCACCAGGAAGGGCTGGAAGGGCCCCCACTTCCCTGAGGACTGTCTCCTTTTTTCCTTGCTGAGGTGTGGCTAGCCACAGGGAGGACTGTCCCCAGGGGCAAAGTCATCCACGGCAGGCTGCTTTTGCTCCCAGCTCTGCTCAAAGGAAAAGCAATCTAAGGCACGTGGAAGCACACAGGCACCCAGGTGACCTGTTTATGAGTCTGTGCTTGGTACTTTCGCTGCTAATCTTTATTACAACTCCAAGAGATAGGTGCTATCACCTCTGTTTTGCAGATGCAAAAAATGTTCCAGAGAAGTTAGGTAACTCACCCAAAGCCACACAGCTAGTGTGGGAACAGAATTAACAACCTATTTCCTAAAAGGAAAAAAAAAAAAAAAAAAAAAAACCCTGCCAAGTAAGGCTTACAGGGCTGAGAGCCAGGGAGCCTGAGAAACGCAGCCAGGTGCCCCGGGCTTAGGCTGTCCCACCGGAGGAACGCGAGCCACACTGTGTGGGGGAGGCCTGTTGGCTCTGCCCCAGACCTGGCTCTGGGATCCTGGGGAAACCATAGGACCCCTCTGAGCCCCAACTGCTGAGCTTTGGCAGGAGAACGGGGAAGATAACCCTGAGCGGCTTCTGACAGGGGAAGTGCGTCAAACCCACCAAGCCCGTTAGAACTCTCATGAACACAGGACACTGGGGACCTGAAAACCTGGAAGCAGAAACCCGCACCTGTTCTCCCCCATGTCCCAGGGAGCCAGGCTGAGGGCAGCCTCTTCACCCTCCTCCTCCTCTTCCTTCTCTTTCTCTCTCCTTTCTCCTCCCAGCAAAGGAATCCAGGCCTGGCAGGGGCGGCAGGCAGCCAACTCCACTTCTAGAGTGAGCAGTCGCCAAGGCCTGAGTCACTCCAGGCCTGGCCCAGGGAGGTGGGCAGGCTCCCCCAGCCTTGTCCAAGGTCAACCCAGCTGGTCTCCTGCCTTCACAAGGCCTGTTGCTGTCAGGGCTGATGCAGCCCCTGTCCTGAGCTCCTGTTTGGACTGCAGTAAGGTGTGTGCTTTGCAGCATTAGCTCACCACTCTGACCCTCAGCTTCCTTGCTGGTAGAATCGGATGTAACACTACTTGGGAAGCACACTGTGCTAGCACTCTGTGGGTACGTGGAGCACAGGAAGCACCCTGGTGTGGAAGACAGGATGGTGTGGCCCGGGCTCCGCTCACACCCTGAGCCATCACCGCCAGCCCCACGGCACGTGACATGCCCACTCCTAAGCTTCAGTGGCACCTCCTGACCTCACCTTGGACATCCCCACCCTCATGCACAGAGCCCACCTGCCACCTCCACCTGCTGCACCCCCACCGCAGCTCCTCTGATGTTTCTGTGCCACTCCCTGTTCTGGCCTTAGTCTACTCCCCACTTCTGTTACCTGCAACTCCGTGGGGCTCAGGCTCAGCTTTGGGCTTATCTTCAAGAGCTTTTTTTAAAAAAATGTATTTAGGACAGGGTCTACAGGGTCTCACTACATAGATTGGACTCATAGTGATTCTCCTGTTTTCTCCCAAGTGCTGGGATTACAGGTACACACCACCACGCCCAGTCTCAGTTGCCATCTCAGTGCGCCCCACAGGCGGGACTAGCACACCAGAGATCAGACCCCAACCACTGTGCTCTGCCTAAGCTGGTACTTTAGCCTGCTGAGCCATCTGGCTGGCCCTCAAGAGCTCTTCTGTTAGGCCCTGCAGCCCATCCACTGCCCATCCTGTCTTCCTAACCTTCAAAAGGTCTTAAGAACCCAGCCACCTCCATGCCCAGCACTCCCGGCCGCTCCCTCCTCTGCTACCATGGTGGCGGCAGCATTCCTCAGCTCCCAAGCCCTCCTGGCTCCTCATGTCCTTAGACACAACCCAGAGCTGCGCGGCGGCCCACCAGGCCCTGCCACCTGTTTGGCTGCCATCCAACAAGCAAGCACACAGAGACGCAGAGACATGCAAAGACGGATCTTCACTGCTCTGGTCCCCATCACCACCCCTCTCCCAGGGGTCTCTGCCCTTTGCCCTGCTCCGCCTCCCTCTGTGACAGGCCACCTCAAGATGGTCTCCCACCATCTTCTCCACTAGACGCCAGCTCCCAAGGGCAGGGTCCTTGCTGCATTCACTGGAGGACACCAAACCCTAAACAGTGCCCAGACTGTGAACAGAACTGCCTTGGCTGAGGCAGAAGGGACCGAAAGGTGGAGAAGCATGATAAACCGGCGTTCTTCCCTGCCCTGCCTCCTTTGGCTCCCAGCAGAGGTGGGAGGGGGCTTTTAAGTTTCTAGTGTCCTTTCTCTACATGCTCAGGGACTCCTTGCCACAAACCTATGAGGTACATAGGGCATGTGTTATTATCCTACTTCCCAGAGAGGGTGACAAAGGCCAGCGCAGTTCAGCAACATGGATAGGTCCCATGAGCTTTCTGCCGCCTGGCTTCAGGGCCTCCCGCCTGGCACTAGAGGCTGATGGCAGGTTGGTCCCTTTCTTCACCAGCTCAGCTCTAGGGCACAGGAGGCCACCCACTCTCAGAACTGACTTGATTGTATTCTGTCCCTGGAGGACCAGAGCTCTCCCTGAGAGGTGGGGGTGACCACAGGGGACCTCAGGAGGGGGTCCGTGGTGCTAGGGTCCAGCTCTGGAAGGAGAGGTAGGGCTGCCCCAGGCCAGCTCTGTCCTTGAGTGCCCCAGGCTCCCTCTTCAGAAAAGCACTGAGGAACAGACCCTAGATCCCGTGATCCCTGCGGGTTCCAGGAGACACCTATTTCTTGCCCCAGCTCTGGGCCCAGCCCAGTGGCACTGCCAGACCAGGCCACTAGGTGGCATCCCCGCGCTCAGGCCCGGCTGCTCCCGGGAAAGGGCAGACGGTAGCTTCTCTGCCAGGAGCCAAGGGTGTGCCCCACCCCCACCTGGAGACTGAAGGGAGAAGAGCCACCCAACAGCCCCTGGAGCCTTAGAACCCGAAGTGGGAAATCTGTGGCACACCGCCAGAGCTTCCTAACCCTGGTCCTTGGCAGACATCACCAATCCATTCAGCTCAGGACCCTTGGTGACAGGGCGCTTTAAAGGCCAGCTCCAGGCACGTGACCAGACCTGGCCAGCTAGACCCAGCGCTCCGCCAGCGCCTCCCCTCCCCTCCCATCTATTTGGGAAGCTAGGGCCAGGCTGACTTTGTTTCATCAGTCCGGGCTACAGAAGCCAGCAGGGCCAGGATAAGGTCACACGACCCCCGGGAGGCTTGTGTAACCATGGATGAGCCCTGGGAAACCTTAGCGCCGGGGAGAGGCTGCTGGGCCGGGCAGCCTGGCAGCTGCGTCCTCCTCCTCCAATTGTCACCTCAGACGCTACGGGGTGTGGCGGGGGAAGGGAAGGGGGCAGAGCAAGAGACCAGGCTGTGTGTGTGTGTGTGTGTGTGTGTGTGTAGGGGTGGCCCTAAAAGAGCCGCCTTGTCCTCCTGCCCCTGCGCAGCCTTGTTTTCTTCCCAAGCTATTAATGTCTCTGCAGCTTCAAAAGCCGGGTGACCTTTAAATGCCGAGCTGCCTGCTCCTACCCAAGGCACAGAAACAGCTTAATAGAAACTCGGCCCAATGGCCACAGCTGCTGGGCTTGCAACAAAGCCAATCTCATGGTCCAAGGACCCAGGGCTACTGGACAGCCACACCTGGGCCCACCCCAGGGCAGCCAAGAAGGGCTCAGAGGTCCCTCGGCAAAGCCACTGGAGAAAGTGGCCAGGCTAGACATGAGCAGATGAGGAGGAACAGAAGGAGAAACACAATTCTGCCATTAGCTGCTTGCTGTGTGACCTTAGGTTGCCTCCTGACCTCTCTGGGCCACTTACTACTCCTTCATCTGTTAAACATGCGTATTGGATAAAAGGATCAAGACCCTTTGCTAAGCAGAAGGCACACTGAGAGGGAGGACGCATGGCTTGCACACCCACCCAGCTAGGTACCAGGAGAAGTGCAGCGAGGGGCAGGACTACCTTCCTAGGGCTGCCACACACACAGCACCACTCCCTGTGCCACCTCCTGTCACCTGGCAGATCTGTAGATCTAAGTTGCTCAAAAACTTGGTGGTTGTCCTTTTTAAAACTTTTTTTTTTTTTTTTTTGGGAAGAGTCTACAGGGTGTTCACTGCTAGACTGGATTCATAGTGATCCACCTGTTTAAAGCCTCCCAAGAGCCAGGATTTCAGGCAGGCGCCACCACACCCAGTCTCTTTTTAAAACTTTTAAAGCCAGGCATCGTGGCATGTGCCCATAATCTCAATCCCAGCACTTTGAAGGCTGATATAGGAGAATCATAAATTGGAGCCCAATCTGGGCAATTTGGCAAGGCTCTGTCTCCAAATTAAAAAATAAATGAGGGGAGGGGAAGGCATATATATATATATATATATGCACACACACAAATATATAATTTTTTAAGCTCTGAAAACAAAAAAGAAGGGAAAAATCCTTTTTTTTTTTTTTTCCTAATTTTCCTCTTTTTGCTTCAAAACTTCTGGCCAGATCTGAGCCTATGGGGGATGTGGGGCAGGGACTAGAGCAAAAGACTTCAAAGGAGGTTAATGCCCCTCCCACAGGCAAATTGGCCCTGGATCCTCAGACCTAAGGACATCATCTTTTATCTCTGCTTCTGACACCCGAACATTGGGCCTGACTGCCATAAAAGGTGTCATCAAAAAGTCAGGGCTGCTTTTCAGCTGAGCAAATCCAAGCTGCAGCTCCCGGGGCATGAGTGACTTGTGTCCTTGGTAGGACAATGGCAGTATCAACAAGACTGACAACAGCCAGTGCACAGCGCCTGCTCCTTGCACAGCGAGTCTCCAGTCCCTCTGTCCGCCTACAAGGCCCACATTTCCACTGTACAGACGAAGGAGCGCGTTCAAGGTCACACAGCTGAGCGGCCAACCTGAAATGTGAACCCAGGTGATCTGATTTCAGAGTGAACACGCGGCTTCCATCAGGCCTGAGAAGCACTCCATGTTCCCTGAAGCCCAGCACAGGGCCAGGCAGATGGCAGGAATCGGTGGCTGTGAGCTGAAGCCTAACCCATGGATGGGCTGGGAAGGGGTGCTTCTCAGTGCCTCTAGAATTATGAAGGATGGCGCTCATGTCTAGCAAGCAAAGGAAGAAGCCCCTAGGTAAAGCCTTGTCCAGGAGAAAAACAAAGTGCTTCTCCCCACCCACCCTTCCAAAGTTGTCAAGTTGCCTGAGCAACCGTTTAGCACCACAACCTGGGCTGGTTGGGGACTATTTCTACAACTATCTTTCTCTCCATCAACAAACACTAGCAGCTCAGCCAAGACCTCAACCCAGGCACCTGGGAGGAGCTCAAACCCTCACAGATAGAGGGCTGCTGCTCCCCATAGCCCTCCCCACCAAGATGCAGCAGCTCTGGGGAGCCCCGCTGGAGTGGCAAGAACAAGCACATGCCTGGGACCCAGGACGACTGCTGAGATTGGGTGAGGGGGGCTGTGGCAGTCAGGCGCAGGGCCAGGAAGCTGGGATGGCTCCAGGCGTGAGCTCATACTGGCCCAGGCCCAGCTTCTTGGGAAGAGAAACCGGCTGTCCTCCTGGGGCCAACCTGCAGGGTCTGTGAGTGAGCTTTGAAGTCTGGAAGGCAGCAAGAGACATTTCTGGGCCCCGGAGAGACAGGTGGAGGGTCATACCCCAGGATCTAGCATCTGAGCTTGCCTGAGGGGTGCTGGGAGGCGGGGGCAGAGGAGGCTTCTGAGAACAGGAGCCCCAGTCCTTGCCCCCAGTCCTCTGGGGAGAATTGAGGTCTAAGAAACAGATCAGATCTCTGTAAATTTTTGAATACCTTTAAGTCTTAATTCATGTTCATTTCTTAGTGTAACAATGAACTGTGCAACAACAACAAAGTGATAGCACCGCCAGGGATCTTTGCACACACCCCAAGACTGAACCAGGGCCTTGTACACAATAAGCGTACACGCTCCTCCTGGCCTATATTCCCAGCCCTTTGAGTTACTTCCTGATAAAACATGATAGCAGCTATCTCCGAGTCCTTGCTATGTGCCCTGCACCCTCTGAGCACGTGGCAGGTGCTATCTCCTCAGTGAAGCGATGATTACAGTCACTTTACAGATAAGAAAAAAAAGGCCCAGAGAGGTTAAATGACTTACTTAGGATCACAGAGCTGGAAGCTGAATCCAAACAGCACAGCCCCAGGTCCAGGCTTTTCTGAACACCCACCTGACACAGTCTCTGTAATTAAAGCAAAACAAAACAAACAGTAAAAGAAAACTAATGATGCTAGAAAAAACCTTGGGAAGCAAACAAGCCACAGGGTGTTCATGGCTGAAATCTCGCTGCGGTCTTGAGATACCCCACCCGCCCTCATCTGCTGTGGTTACTTGGGCAGCCCTCCCGGGGGCGGGGCGGGACGCTGAGCACCCCCGCCGCGCATCCTCCCACCCTGGTCAGGGACACAGGACCCAGTGGGCATGGGATGGCCCAGGCCATGGCCTTTCCGAGGCAGGTCCACAACTAAAGGCTCAACTCCAGCTGGTGCCCGCTGGTGCTGAACCATGGCACTGGCAGCCAGCAGACGCCTGACTATGCTACTATCTGGGCATCCGGGCTTCTTTTTTTTTTTTTTTTAATTTTTTATTTATTTGTGTGTGTGTGTGTGTGTGTGTGTGTGTGGCCAGCTCAGCCCACCAGGGGGCGGGGCTAGCTGGCATGTGGTGCTGGGGGATTGAACCGCGGTCCCTGTGCTTTGCTGAGCTTGTTCTAAGTATGTGCTTTAGACCACTGAGCCATCTCACCAGCCCCACTGAGCCATCTCACCAGCCCCGCATCCGGGCTTCTTTCGGCCAGTTTCCCTATTTGTGGATCAGGGACACAAGTACCCTCTCAGGTGGGGCTCCCGATGGTAGGAGATTCACTGTGGTGGGCGCCCCCCAACTGTTAAGACTGGCACTGTCATAGGTAAAACTCCGTAAGACATTGGTGTAGGCAAAGACATTATGAATGAAACCCTGATCATACAGGAACTATACAAAAATCAACAACTGTGATCTCTTCTTATTAAAAAGCTTTTTGCACAGCAAGAGAAACCACCAACAGAGTGAAGAGACAACCCACAATGCATGGAGAATGTTTGCCAGCTGTTCCTTAGACAAAGATTTACTATGGAGAACACATAAAGAGCTCAAAATGATCCAACCTCCCAAATGTAAAGACCCAATCCAAAAACGGACATCAGAGATGAGTATTGACTTTCCAGAGGAAGAAATATAAACAGCAAATATATGTAAAAATTTCCAACATCACTGGTCATTTGAGAAATGCTAATTAAAACAACACTGAGATTCCACCTCATCCCATAAAGAATTACTATCATCAAGAAATCAACCAATAACCAATACCAGAGGGACTGTGAGGGAAAAGAAACCTTTCTCCACTGTTAGTAGGAGTGCAGACTGGTGCAACCACTCTGGAAATCAGTTTGGATATTTCTCAAAAAACTAAAATTTAGGTTGTAGGGTTTTTTTTTTTTTTTTGTATTATAGGGTAGGGTCTACAGTGTGTTCAGGGTCTCACTACTAGATCGGACTCATAGCGATCTGCCTGTTTACAGCCCTCCAAGAGCTGGGATTATAGGTGCGCACCACCACGCCCAGTCTCAAAAAGCTAGAATTTAAGGATATAGCTCAGCAGCACAGCACCTGCTTGCCAAGCACAAAGTCCTGAGTTCAATTTCCAGTATGAAAAAAAAATTAACATGCATTTAAATAAAATACAAATCAAACAGAAAAAAAAATATATATGGGCTTGGAGGCTGAAGCTCCAGCGGCGCAATCGGTTAGCGCGCTGTACTTATATAAAAATATAGACTTGGAGGCTCCATTTGACCCAGCTATTCCCCTTCTGGATATCTTTCCAGAAGAATTAAAAACACCATACCACAGAGATCTATGCGCACCCATCTTTAGAGCAGCACAATTTGTCATTGTAAACCTTGGGAAAAAACTCAAAGCCCATCAACTGAGGAACAGGTAATAAAAGAGCTGGTCTTTTTATACAATAGAATACTGCCAGGCCATAAAGAAGGATAAACTGGATATTTTGTAGGTAAATGGATGCAACTGGAGAGCATACAGCTAAGTGACATAAGTCAGTCACATGCGTGGGCGTCCTGTGGTCTCCCTAGTGTGAGAAGCTGAAAGAATAAATTAAATCCAAACTGTACAACAGATACTGTAAAGTGGGGAAAAAGCTATTCAGAATGAAAGAGAAACTGGGGTTGGGAGAAAGGAGAAAGGAAGGGAGAGAAAAGTACATACATATGTTACATGTAGTTAAGTTAGTTATAACTTAGTGACTAACTTAACTATAACACAAGATAGTTAAGATAGTTATACTACTAATTTCTCCTTGTTCATTGAAAAAAAGGTTTGTGCCAATAATGTTTGGACAATTAAACGCCCTTATCTTGTACCCTTGAGTGATTTAAAAATAACAAATGCAATGTGTTAATCAGTGTTACCCTTCTACCATCTTGTTCTGAAATTTCATTTTAT